TCTGTACATTTGAAATTTAATGTTGTTTGCTTTCTGACCTTTGGAATTGTTATGTTGTGCTTATTTAAAAGATGCCGTTCAATAGTAGTATTACTTGACTTAATAGAAAATACATAATTGCACCTTTTGCATACAGGTACTTCCGGGTGAGCTGGACTTTGCAATCTACATAATTCCATAGAGGTGAAGTTTTTCGAGAACTTCCTTCAGTACGTAATATGTTATCCAAAATGTCATCACTCTACAAGTCAACAAAATCGAACACGTCATCTAAACTCATTGTGTAAGTTTGTACAACAAAAATTAAAAATACTGTGTAATATATATACCAAATGTAAGAACCCTTTTTATTGATTAGGACTCATTTAAAACTAACTCCTTATGTATTAGTCCAAAAAATCGAACTTAAAGATCTGCAGACTCAGTCTTAGGACTGAGTCTTTAGGTCTGAAATAAGGACTTTACCAACCTTAAGCAGGTCAGGCCAATTTGGTCCTTTGATAAGTTCATGGATCTGAACGGAATATGCAGGAATAGAATCTTTGTAAAAACTACAAAATCTACAGGAAATTCGTCTGGATTTCAACAATTCTGAGATGCAGGACCATAAAGAATTATTCTTTAATCAGATTCTTCGCGTAGGGGAGGTTTCGCACCATCTTGAAAACAATATGTCAAATTGAGATAAAGAGACAAAGGAAACAGAGGAATCCATAGGAAGGGAGTTCAACATATATAATATAAAAGCTAATTCTGCAACATCATTATATGAAGAGATCATAGGACAAGAAAAAATTCCAGAGTCAAGAATAAAATTGTCCAGGATTTGAACCCAAGCACCAGACCAAGAGTGAAGTTATAGAATCAATGGCATGTATAGTTTCAGATATATGGAAAGTGGTATCCAAACGTAATGCAAAAATAGGATTTGATATTAGAGTAAGATCAGGTAGTAAGGCAGCAGAACTGTCACAATGTGATAAAGGTGGTTGCGCAATCGCTAAGTATCTTTCGGGAATATACAGTTCAGAAAAGCCAAGTAAAAATCTAAAATAAGAACATAAAAAAAAAGGAGAAAGCTTCAAATTAATAATTTGTTGAGAAATATCTACATGTACAGTCATTTGAAAAAGTTGTAAACAACGATAGAAAAATAAAACAGATAAACAAGAACGATGAATTAGTTTTCTGCCAACAGTTTTTAAAGTCAAAGGGCCGTCATCCATATCAAGGCAATGAAGGGAACAACCAGGACAAGGAGTAATCTCCATTCGGTTATGTGTACTGGGAATCCAATGAGAAAAGTAAACTATACGAGTTCCAGAATCATCATCAAAGGTATAAAAAGCCCGTCCAAAAACAAGAGAATTTGAGGAGTCTACGCCAACAATTCAATAATATTTATTCTGGAGTCGAATATAAGAGGAAGTGTCAATAATATTAACAAATTTTCCGACCAATGAAGATATGAGTGGAGGGATACAAATAGCATCCTTTTGTTTAGGAAGGTAAGAAGATAGATTGGAAAAGAAGGTAATAATCTGAAACCAAAAAGGAATTTTTCCAGTATTGGCCACCAGGCCCATTTTTTTAAGGTCATTCCATGTAAATTGGAAATTATAGAACAGGTCCATAACTTGTGTAAGGCACCAAAGAGCAGATTTAAGCCAAGAACGTGTTTCTAAAACAGCCAAATCAGAAGATAAAGAGACTAAAGGGCATACTTCATCAGGCATTAAGTCGAGAAAGGTATGGTCAGAAAAATCAAATTGAAGTCCAGATTCGCGAAGTAGTTTAATGGCTTGAAACAGCCAATTATGACTGACGGAACGACGTTTAGAGGTCCATAGCGAAAAATCTACAATAAGATCAATCGAAGAAGGCCATTTTAAAGTGAGCTGCAAGGTTCGTAACATAATAAGAACCCAATTTGCCTGTTTGGAATTAGTAAATAAAAATGAAATCCAGGATAGAAAATGACATATAAGTCGTTCACATAAGGAATCATAAGGATTAGAATCTTTACTAAAGAATCTACTGGTTAGGGCTATTGATGAAAAGGTACGAGCCACAGACAGAGCTTTTCGTTGAAGACCATAATACAGTTAGACCTTTATGTACCGATACTGTTGTTTTGGGGAAAATATATCGGTATATCAAATTATCATTACATAACCGTCATCAGTGAATCATAATGTGGGCCAAAATCACATTCTTGCCAGCATTATGTAAACTTCGGATAGCTAATATATTAAAATGTCATGTGATTTGGATGGAACCTTTATGTTAACTCTGGCCAAATTTATAGTGTTGACCTGAATTAATACCAGTGTAACCTAAAGTATTGGTATATCTTACTATGTATTAATTATAAAGGGGCAAAGAAAAGTATCTGTACATGTTACATCGTGAAACCATATATAATATCGGTACAACGAGATTTTTTTATTAATTGTGAAACAGGACATAGAAAATTTATCGGTACAGGCAATTATTGGTACATAGGATATCAGTACATAGAGGTCTGATTGTATCCATTAGCAATTCGCATAATCTGTGATAGAGATCGGAAAAGATTTGATTAAAATCGAAACTATCGAAAATCGATAAGAATCGATTTTAAATTGAATCTCGAATAAAAATCGCATCTACTTATTGTGGCGCAGTTTCGTTAATTTGACCGTAAATTATTATTTGTTCATAATAGTTAATTTTGGCCAAATTTATAATTCCGCCCGCGAATCACGTGATGGAACACAAACTTCCTAAAAAGGAAATTTTATCTCCCAATAAAATTCAAGTTGCCATCACACAAGGTTGTACAAATTTTCAAAAAAGAAAATTTGTTTGTCGATCAGACGATCACTGTAATTTTTGTAATCACGTGATATATGTTTAAACACACAACCACCCTAGCATCGCCTCCAAAAAATAGTAGCCGGTTCTAATTTGCCAGGTTACATATATTATTGAGAGGTGATAAATAATACGTGACATTTAGTACTTTACGTATAAAAAATTTTCTAAGTCCTCAGAATAATTATAAAATTAAAGAAACGTTAAGGTGTGACATTATGTGATGAATTCCTAACCCTTAATCCCCTTACCCTAATCCTAATCCTAATCCCCTTACCCTAATCCCAACCCTAATCCTAACCCTAACACTAAAGAACTGGCAAAATAATCTGGCTACCATTTCTTGGAGACGACGCTATGGTCGTCTTAAACACACCTATTATAAATAGTATAAAAAAAAATTGGTATTTGCGAAACGATTAATTGCGATTAATCAATTTTAGAATCGATTCTAATAATGGGAATCAATTCCAATCCCTAATCTGTGATTCTGATAAGTATAATACTTGAGACCGGAATTGTAGAATGAAGATAAGCCAATTGAGCAGGTGACAATTTCTTGAATCGCACAGAACTGACAAAAAAAGAATAAATATCTTTAAGTTGTGAAAGAACAAAATTAGGGGATCCTTGTAAATTAAACCAAACCCCTAAAAAATGAAAGGATGAAGACAATCTCAGAGCCTGTAATGAAAAGCTTATAGAAGAAAGATGATCCAGAATTTCAGACTCCAATTGAAATGAAATTAAATTGTTGTTGGCTGAAGACGAGATCAACTCATATTTCGAAAAGTTCGCTGTGATATTATTTAAAAAATAAAAATCACGGGCTATGGAAAGTAATTGTTCTAAGCCCGACAAAGAAGAGGCAATCAACGTGGAATTATCCAAATAAGTAAGCTGAGTAATGGGTATGGCAAGATTTTCATTATTATTAATGTTCAGAATGTCGGTAGGGATACCAGAGCTCCATATATAAAGGGAAATTGCTGATAATGACAATTTGGTCAAAAGGGGATCAAAGTAAATAGTCCAAAGGAGCGGAGAAATAACCTCGCCTTGATCAATTCCTATTAAGAGGTCATACGATTCAGTTTTGCCAAAAGGAGTCAAGATTCTATTTTTCCTGAAAGTAAATAAACTAACTATAAAGTCAGAAAGATTAAAAGAAAATTTTAAATGGTCAAAATAAAGCCAAAGCATATGCAAATCTATAGAGTCAAATGCTTTGGAAATGTCTTGACTTAAAATCCACAATTCTTGAGGGAGTTGTAAAACACGATGACTTTTCATAATGCCATCAAGAATATTGATAGGGGTGTTGACAGATGAACCAGGAAGTCCAGCAAAATTATTGCCAGTGAGTACTTGATGTTGAGACATAACTCGAGAAAGATGATCGGTAACAATTTTAACCATTAATTTTCTAGCAGTTTCCAACAAAGTAATTGGCCAGGTGTTTTTTAATAGGCATTCGAACTCATGAGGTTTAGGTATAGGGACAATAGAAGCCAAATGCCAATCCTTAGGTATATCAGGATCCCGAGCAATACTGAAATAGGTAACAAGAAATAACGCGTAGAATAGGCTAAAATAATCATGAAAATCTTTCCTTTTTTAGATAAATTTTGATAACGTTGGTAAGAAATATATTACTTTATTTAGTAACTGACTGACATTATCATAATTCCAACCCTGAAAAAATGCGTAGAGCTAATAGTAAAATTTTGCCAATTTCCTATGACCTATTTATATATTGTTCAGGGTCCTGGTATATCCGATGACCGATGACGCTAAACATGAGTTCATTAATTTGCATAAGTAAAGGATTGCCTCAGAAGAGAGTAATCTGAACCATTCATAAGGAATGGATGAGAGGCCAGGAGCTTTGTGGTTTAGAGAATTATTAATAATGGCTAGAAGTTCAACTTCAGTGATGGGTGCCATAACCATTGAATATATATCAGGATCAATTGAAGAAATAGGGGCATAGCGACTTTTTCATCGATCAGGGAGGTCTTCAAGATTCTTAAATGGAGATTTACTAGGACCAACTACATTTTGGAAGTGCCTAATGGCAGCCTTATAAATGTCATCAGGTGCAATCAACAATTGGGATTACCAGGGATATCTGTAATAAGTATTCAGTCCAAAACAATGCTTCGTTTTTCTCGATTCAAAGAGCTGCGGATGAATTTTCCTTTATCTTCATAGAAATTGGAGTTCTGTTCAGCAATAGCAGCTTTCATAGCAACTTGCTTATGATTATCAAATTCTAAAGTGACTTTTCCAGAAATAAACCTTTTAATGGTTCGTAAAAAGGTTTGAAATTTCGTCAAGAAAGTCGGAAAGTCTAAATGCAAAGTTATAAAAACTGAATAAAGTGTAGTAGGAATAGGAAGGGAATCAATAAAGGCAGACTGATCAGGAAATAAATCCGTGAATTCTCTACAAAAGGATGGAAAAAATCGATTCCAAGAAAAATAGAGGTCAGAAATTGAAAAAATTTTAAAAAGTGAACTAATATAATGATCCAATTTCTGACTAAGATGGATAAAAGGTCTGAGTTTGAATGGAACTACTTGAAGCTTGTTTAAAGAAATTATTCGTTTGGAAAAAGCACGGCGAGCGGCGGTAAGTAAGGTGGATTTTAGCCGATACCATTCTTGATTTAGGTATCCATCACCCTTAGAGTAAGCAGGTTTCTTAAGACCAGAATCCACTTCTGCAGTAAAAAGAATCTTTTGTTCAGGAAGAGCAACATAAACATTATATTCAGTACGGAATCTTGAACATTGTTTTAAATAACTCGGAGCACGTAAATCACGAATATTAAGGAAATCAAAAAATCCAATTAATAAAAAATGATCAGAACTAAAAGTATCTAAAGAATCTAAAATATGAGACCATAAATGAGCCGCAGGAAAAGCAGAAGAAGTCCAAAGATAATCCAAACAGGATAAATGATTAGAACTCGAAGATCAAAAAGTGGGTAATGGAAAGAAAGAAGAATCAAAAGCACACAAATCATCAAATTGATGTGAATGTAAATATCAAAATAAAGGGTTAATAGGAGATAAAATAGTTGGATCAGAAATATTCTTGAGGTAACCATCAAATTCAGCATTCAGGTTACCGTCGTCGGGCTGGTAGTGTAGTCACTACGTTCCTCCACCTCGGCCAGGGGCCTCGCAGTACCTACATCCCCCCTCCGTGGGGCAGGTTTACCTGCCACAGTACCATGGTCTGCCACGGTATTTTTCCACTTTTTTTTTTTCTACATTTTTTCTTATATATAACTTACTATGACAACTATGGCAACTATGGCAGACTACTTAAAAACGGAATAAAAATGCGAATAAAGCCAAAATCAGACAGAATTTCCTGCAATAGTACCTGCCATAGTACGAAAAACCTTATAATAATACTATGGCAGCCTTAGTCAGCCCCTCAGACCCCAAAACCCGATTCACGCTATGATTACCCTTTATATACTCACCTAGACCCTCCAAGTATGATTCCCTATGTCCTGAACTATGGCACCCGAACTATGGCAGCCGAACTATGACCACTTACCCCCGTCAGAAAAAATATATTCGGCAATTGAAGATTAGGTAACTATAAATTAGTACTCGATTTGATAGAAC